AAGTGTTATTTACAAGTTTTTGTTTTTCTTGATGTGTTCCTGACATTACAAGTGTTATTTACAAGTTTTTGTTTTTCTTGATGTGTTCCTGACATTACAAATGTTATTTACAAGTTTTTGTTTTTCTTGATGTGTTCCTGACATTACAAATGTTATTTACAAGTTTTTGTTTTTCTTGATGTGTTCCTGACATTACAAATGTTATTTACAAGTTTTTCTTGATGTGTTCCTGACACATTACAAATGTTATTTTCCATGAAGAATTGTTCTTTTTCTTTAGATTCTAGAGATTCATGTGTGCTTCTTGGTCATCCAGCTTATTATTCTAGCCACAATGTTGTCTCTCTGTGTGAGGAGGTTTGCCTGCTCTCCTTATCAGCATTCTGTTGCTGAGTCTCTTAGCACTGACAAACGAAGTATTTCAGCTGGATCTGCTATTGTTCCCACAATTCCAGAAGTCGACAAGAGAAGAGAACTAAGTGATGAAACATCCACTTTTGGTGAGTGGATTTTGGATTTATGAAGAGATGAATCCATGTTTAAAATAGCCAAAAAAAAACAACCTATTTACAAATGATTTTTGTGGCTGGATTGTTTGTTAATTACTAAACCACAATACTGGGCTTTTGATGTGTTTTTTTTTTTATCATTCATTATGTTAAGTTGTTACATGAAACATTTATTCCAAGTTTGAATTATAAGTGTCTTGATGAGAGTAGCTGACCATGGAGGGTTTTGAATTCTATTTACATATGTTATATTGTGTCAAGCTGCCTATACTTTGGCATACAGAAGATTTACTTTTAAATGTGTTATTTCCCTCACAAGCTGTTACCGAGGATGAAATGGCATCATGGTAAGTAAACTGCTCCATTTTATTTGTTATAAATGTACAAGTTGGTTTTAAACAGTTTATATGTCTATTTTGAAAATTGTCATAATAAAGTTTGTTATTACTGATAAGCTGTTCCAGTTTACTTAATAAATATTCATGTTTCACATTTATAGTTGTGATGTTCTTGTTATAGGGACATGTCCGCGTGTGGTAGTAGTCAAGCCAACCATTCCCATCATGGTAGATCCTCCTCCCAAGGTAACACAGGTAAGTTTCCTTATTCACTTAAGGATTAATAAGTCTGCATCAGAAATATTTGAGGGTTAATAGACCTTTATTGTAACTACTTGAAAATTGATAGACTTTTATCAGAACAACTTGAGAATTATTAGACCTTTACTGTAACTACTTGAAAATTAATAGACTTTTATCAGAACTACTCGAGGGTTAACAGACTGTTATCAGAACTACTCGAGGGTTAATATACCTTTATCAGAACTACTTGAGGGTTAACAGACTGTTATCAGAATTACTCGAGGGTTAACAGATTGTTATCAGAACTACTCGAAGGTTAATTTAAAAGCTTAAAAAGTCTTGTTTTTTCAAATTGTTTTGCTTTGAACATTGTTATAGTTTTCACATAATTTGGTACTTACCTTGATGCCTAATATGAGATTCTTTGTGCTTCGAACAGCCGCAGAGGAAACAGAAGAGCAAGAAGCAGAAAAGAATGGTGTCGTCTGCATCAACAGTGTACTTAAACAAACTAGTGGCAAGTAGTGACATCTACAGGACAGCTGAAGATCGAACTTTTTTTTCACAGTGTAGAACTTCTGGTGTCCTCTTTTCCCATTCGCATTTAACTCAAGATATAACCCCGACAGTAGAATCAAAACAGTCTAAATGTAACCCGGTGTGTGAAGCAGCACAAAATGAGAATATAGGCTCTTTGGAAAAAAACACGAAGGTCACGAATAAAAGTTTCCCAAGTAAACCTCTACAGAATATTACTAACGAGGTTGCAGCATTTAATGGTGCCAAAAAGAAGAATGCATATGTCGATAAAAAGAAATTCAGCGTTAGAAACTGTTAAGATTGAAGAAAATATATTCAGTGTAGTTCTAGTCATGACATTTTATTAGCAGTTGCTATTGTTGGGCTCATGCCATATTATTTATTTCGGTTATCTGATGAGATAGAAGAGTATCTCAAGCTTGTTTTCTTCAATTGATATAAAGAATTCTCAAAGCTTTTCCTTATGCTTGCTGGAGAAATACTGGCAAGACAAAATATTGTGATAAAAATATTCTGTTCAAGAATGGTAGGGAACAGTACCAGCATTTTGTCAGTCTAGTAATTGGCCTGTACCCGTGAACTGTTATCACATTTATCAGGAAATCTCTGCTCCGAAGTAGATTTGCATCAAATCTGTCTTTTTTTACTTATAAAAGTCCCACACATTTATCTTGTCAATAACTGATGATGTATTTTTAAAATGTACTTTGTTAATTTATTACATATTTACATGCTTGCTCTGTAAATGGAGTTTAATGACACAAAAATAGGGTTACAAAACTAAGAACATGCCGTCTATTGGAGTTAATGACAGTTCGATTTTATAAATGGAAAGGCACTTGTAACAACTAAGAATTAAAATGAGTTTGGTAAAGAAAAATACAACAGTTGATCTTCAAATTGAATCTCACAGACTTAAACTTTATTAAAGCTGAGTGTCTTATTGTAAGCTATACTGAAAATGCGTTACAACGCGAATTTCTTACACTGAAAACACATGTACTACAATACGAAGTTGGCATACAGAAGCAAATGTATTACAATGCAAAAAAAATGCCTTTTAAAATTTCCATGAGTGGTGTTTAAACAAGTAAGTCACAAGTGTTTTGAGGAAACCAAAAAAGTTATAACATTTATGCTCAGACGGGAAGTCCTTGTGGATGATGCTTGTCTCCGTGTTGACACGGAGGCTAAAATACATTGCCTAGAAACTGGCCACACGTAGCTCCCTCTCACACAAGCATGCATTCCTCCTTAGATTATTTTGTTCTTCGAAAGATCCACATAATATGCCAAATGTTACGTTTATGTAGATTATTTTCTGTTTGCCGGACCCACACAATATGCCAAATGTTACGTTTATGTAGATTATTTTCTGTTTGCCGGACCCACAAAATATGCCAAATATTTAGAGTAGGAATTTTTTTAACTTGTTAGTATACCACGTGTTGATAAGAATTGCTAAATAAACTTCGGGTAAATCCTGTTGTCAGTGTAAGTGTAATTATGTTGTTACAAGTAACATGTTTTTAAGCCATGGTAAAAAATTAAAGTAATCTTTCTAGTGCTTTCTCATTCACATTTTTTAACTTTGGTTTTGAATCACAGTTGCAGTGAAAGTTTGCCGTAGTAAATATTCTCAGATCATTGATGTTTCATTCGGTAAGTTGTAAAGAATGATCCTAGACTGTTTAGCAGCTTGGTCTGTATTAAGATTGATTGAAGTACACAAATGTATGTCATTGTTGGATGTTATCTTATTTTTTGACAGTGTTGGTCATAAATTTTATCTATAGAAATATGCCATGATGATGGAATGTTATGTTTTAATATTTGTTTCATTGTTTAAGAATACAAAATAATATGGAACTCAGTTAAAATTCTTGAATTTATTAATTCATTTTTGATGACTTAGAACTCTAGGATAAAGTTGATGTAGGATTCTATATTGACTAAGATGTCTTTGTTAAATTTAAGCAATTACATCCTTATTCGAGATTTTAATTAAGCTGAATTTGGACCTCACTTAACCAGTAGGTTTGACTAATCAAGACTTAGATGTTGTGACCTCACATTAACCAGGAGGTTTGATTAATTAACACCAAAACTTAGATGTTGTGACCTCACATTAACCAGTAGGTTTGGTAATTAACACCAAGACTTAGATGTTGTGACCTCACATTAACCAGGAGGTTTGATTAATTAACACCAAGACTTAGATGTTGTGACCTCACATTATCCAGTAGGTTTGGTAA